CCGAAGTGTTCATAATTCGCTCTCGATAAGATCATTTCTATACGGGTCGATTGTGATTAGTTGTTGTGTATGTGAATAGAGATCTGTCGTTGTATGCGTACCGGCATCAACGTTGTATGCGTACCGATATCAACAAGGAAATCGGCATAGATAAATAAACATTTTGAAGTCACATCGTAGTACAAATGTTGATTTAATGAAAAATGCCTGAATCAGAAGAATATTTCACCCTGTTCCTTAAAAATATTAAAACAAATTAAATATTTAGACAGTGTACTAAATGTAAGTTTATTGATTAGAAATTATTTCTATATTATTCGTAGTTTCTATAAATCTTTGAAGTTATTAAAATAGAAAATATTTTTAGACAAGACAGATATTACAGCTGTTCAAAGAATGAGATTATATCGCCAGCGAAAAAGTAAAAAAATACAAGCAGTCAATGAATATATGTTAATTTTAATTAGATGAAGTTCTTCTAACACAATTACATGATGAGTGAAGTTGGGAAAACGATATTTTTTAGGCGTTGTTTAACAAAATCCACTGTGTGAATGAATATAGTTGAATTTATTAATCAGCAATTACTTCATTTCTCTAATGAAGGATAAAGTTTTAAATGTTAATTACAATGACAAACCGATCATGTTATATTTGAAGTATGACTTTAATTACATTATTGTTTATAATTATTATACATATTTTTAATGCTATTATAATATATAATTTATGATTTATCATCATATAAATGTGTATAATGATCGACACTAATAAATGTGTGCATCACGAGTGTTACATTATAACTAATAAACATTATTCAAAATTGTTATATGATGTATTTATTTTTACTTAAATGCCATCTTCTACAGTAGCAAATAAGTTTTACTTAATCGCGTGTGAACCTTACGCGCACTTTTTTTTATACTGTTTGATATCGAGCTGGTCGACGTTGAAATCGTTCTTAGGCCCCAACCACGACAGACTAATTACCAAATTAATAGTCATTTTAATGTATAATTATTATATTATTGATATTTTTTTAATATTTTTAGTTGAAACAAGTCTTGGAGAAGTTCTAGAAGCTGTAGATCATAATTGTTTTGTGGCATGCGCTTATAGAATATTTGGTTTTGTAAGTATACTTAAAAAAAATTATACCCAATTTACAATTTACATATTTCTATAAAAATTGTTCCAAATTTAAGTAAATGTTGGTAGACAGTAGGGTTTATACAAAAACCGACATTTCAGAAAACCGGTTTTCGAATTTTAATTTTACTAAAAAACCGGTTTCTAACCGGTTTTCGAATTTAACATAGAAAATAAAGTTTTGCTCGAATATTCTGTAATTCATCCGCAAATTTAGTGTTATTTAGAGCAGTATTTGACTGAATTTATTTATTGTTCAATTTTATAAATAGTAAACAAAATTATTTTAATTTTAATTAGTAGAACTAAAAAATAATAGTTTATCTTTGAAAATAACGTTGAAAATAATTATTCGTTATTCATGCATCATTTTCACATATAAGAATAAAAATATTTCTATGATAGTCAAAGGAAAGCTTTCGAATAAATAAAAATAATACATTTTTAAATAAAAAAATGCATTAAATTAAAAAAAAATTAGATACATGTTGATACATACTTATTAATATCAATTTTAGTTTTAAAAACAATTAAGCTAAATTCGGGTATTGTCTGTTCTGAACAATTTTAATTAATTAATTTTAAACACTCTAATTGCTTTTGTGTTTAATAAAATATGATTTCAAAAAACTGAGAACGTCTATCAAATTGCTACTTAGACATGTCCTTTGATTACTAACAAAATTTTCTGAATTAGAAAATACTCTCATACATGCGACCAAATTATGCTTAATTGTTTTTAAAGCCTGATATAATAATTCTAAGTTTTTTGTTCTTTAATTTGTGACTTCTAGGGTTTAAAACTTGTTTTTGAAGTTAGAGTAGAGGAAGTTACTTCTTCAAGAAGAAGTCGCACTGATTTAAATTAATATATACACTGGTATAAAAATTTAAATTAATATATACAAAACCTTTGTAGGAACCATTGCAGACTGGTAAGATATCAAATGCTATTGAACCGATATGATTTCAAGAATCAAAACGCTTTCATCTATCTTTTACATTTGGCTATATTTGTCATTTTCCCTTTATACAGTGAAAACCGACTTTTTTCACTAAAAAACCGGTTTTCGAATTCCATAATTTTCAGCAAAAAAACGGTTTTTGAAAACCGACAAACTCTAGTAGACAGTCTTATCTTGGATAATTATCATTTATATTTTTTAGTTGGTCGAAGGTAAATTTATGGTGGACCACTACATGGACTCCATAGCACCATTTCATAAGCCAACTTCGATGGAATACAAAAAAATGCAAAACATTGTCGATGATTGTTATGAACGACACAAAAAAGTCGAATCTAGAGGCGAATGTAAAATTGCAGCCACTATGATCGCCTGTATCATGCCTCAGGTGCAGAAGAACAAATTTAAAGTTATGATTTAAAAAAAATAAAAATTATGTATTTAATTGGAATTATATGAACTCAATTGCATATATTTGTATTAATCGTATTTTGTGTAAATATTAAGTTTGATTCTACATAGTAGTTTAATTCCATGATTTCACGGGGAGTCACAAAATCAATTGTTATGACTGTGACTTTTCGTATGTCGGTCAAAATTGTCAAAACGTAAAAAATGTTTGTGCTTCTGTCTACTGGCACAAAAGTCACTTATGTTATTGAAAAAGTCATTAAAATGTTAATGGCTATTTTTGGGCACTTGTTAGTAATATGAAGATACTACTAAGCAAATCAATGCAATTTTTTATCTTTCTTGTATGAATATTAGTTATGTTTCTACATAGTAGTTTAATTCCATAAATTCACGAGGTATCACAAAATCAATTGTTATGACTGTGACTTTTTGTATGTCGGTCAAAATTGTAAAAAATTAAAAAAATTATGTTCCTATTCTCTGGCACAAAAGTCACTTATATTATTGCAAAAGTCATTAAAAGAAAAACAGTTATTTTTGGTTACCCTGTTAGTAATATGAAGATACTAGATAAGCAAATCAATGCAATTTTTTATCTTTCTTGTATGAATATTAGTTATGTTTCTACATAGTAGTTTAATTCCATGAATTCACGAGGAGTTACAAAATCACTTGTTATAACTGTGAATTTGTGTGTGTAGTGTAAAACTATCAAAAGTAAGAATATATCGTGTTCCTATTCCCTGGCACAAAAGTCACTTATGTTATTGAAAAGGTCATTAAAAGAGTAATAGTTATTTTTGGTTACTCTGTTAGTTGTATAAAGATAATACTAAGCAAATCAAAGAAATTATTTTTTCGCGTCCTGGTTTGTTGTCCTTATAGATAAAAGATAAGTCAAGATAATTTGCCAAAATGAAATAAGTGCTTCGGGAATATTAAATCTGTTATCACCAAAAACCAATAACATAACAAGCAGTTTGATATCAAATTTTTACCTGAGATTATATTTGTGATCAAGTGGAATTTTGATACTGCTTGATATCGAGCTGGTTGAGGTTGAAATCGTTCTTAAACTCTACATCACGACAGGCTCATTAGCAAATAAATATGGACACTTTTCGTATGATCCTATGTTAACTTTTTCTCAAAAACTGCTTATGGTTTCGAAATTTAAAATGGCATTTGGTGAAACCTGATAAAACTTGACGTTTCGCAAAAAAAATAAAAAAAACAAAAATTGTTTGAAAGATATGAGTTGCAAATTGTGCAATTAGCTTTTGGTAAAATTGTTACTCCTAGTTAATTATTGAAAATATAAATTGACAAAATTAACAAAAAAAAAATTATATTCAAACAATAATGCATGAGATATAAGATATACGGGCACATTTAAGTATATTGCAATATTTTGAACTGAGAGAAAATTAGATAAAATGCCAAAACCAAAAGTCTATAAACTGATTAACTTTTTTGTTCACGATGATTAAATATCAAATATAAACTGAGATAAGGTAAAATAATATTTTTTAAATAAATGTTGAGAAAATTAGATAAAATGCAAAAACTAAGGGTCTATAATATAAACTTTTTTTTGTTAAATTTCACGATTAATAAATATCCTACATAACATAGATATAATTATAGATAAGATAAAGTCCCATAAAAATCGGTCAAGCCGTTTTCGAGACAGACAAAAATTGAAAAAATAATTTAAACAGCTTTTACAATATTAAAAACAAATGCTTAAATTTGAAATATAAGTATAGAAAATACAACATATTTATATTCAATATTTTTTATTATTTTTCTGATATTTGACGCCTAGATATATAAAAATTTATAGACATTGTATGTATTTAGTATTGTAGAACTTCCAGGCGAGTTTTGCATAAACAAAAGTTAGCAGAAACTTGTATAAATATTTGTTTAAACAAACGTACACCTAATTCAATGAATTTTTACTTGATAACTGATAATACTTGCTAATATTTGAACATTACCAGAAAATCCTGTAAAAAGATATTTGTAGGCTGAGTAACTTTTGCACACTTCAGTTGTAGTCTCAGTTTTTGTCAAATAATTCACAAATTTTATATGGAAGTACTCCTTTATAGTTAGTTAAGGAAAAACTAGATATAATTTACTACATTTCTATAAAAATAGTTATACACAGTCCGATATAAAAGTTTTTAGTTAGATAACGAAAAAATAGATAAAATTTACTACGATCCCATGCCTACAGTTATATACACTCCGATATAAAAGTTTTGAATAAAACGACTTTGAATTTGATATTTCATTACTTAGCAATAAATATAAAAAATTTCGGACACTTTTTCAGTTTTTGTCAATTAACTCACAAATTGTATATGAAAGCACATCTTTTTGAGTTAGATAAGGTGAAACTAGATAAAACATACTACAATTGGTATTTTATTGATTGTCTATTACAGTATACTTTTGGTTCACAGTTATAATTTATTACATATTTCCAGAAACATACGTTGACCCGCGACAAACATATAACAAATTACAAAATCCTTAAAAGTTTCCCTCAACATTTTTCAGAAAGTTCTATGTCTACTCTGATTTGATATTAAAATTTTTCGAGTAATTTATTACCAATTTACCCTTGTCTATAATAATTAACAGGTACAGGAACAGTTCGATTCATAACATTTGGAGGTATGACTACTTCATAAATAACTCTTTCTTCAGGCATCACAATCTGGTTATTGTTGGGAATTTGTCTCAAATCCACTTGTTTATCAAAAATTTGAGGACCAGATGTTGGATAACAATAAATCACAGGACAAGCCGTCATTTGGACAACTCTTGGTTGTTTATTTTCCGAATAAGAAACCAAATCTTGTCTGTTATCTGGGGCTTGTTGATAATTCCTGATATGGTGCAAAATTGGAGGAGGTGCATCTCCTGGTAAATTTTGCAAAACAGTGCTCACAGATTGACCTGGCATATGTCTTTTATTCCTCATATATTGCAATAAATTCTGTGTCCCTTCTTGTCTCAAACCATTATTTTTAATTTGATACACAGGTGGATGCAAATATTTGGATGTAAATTTAACTTCTCTATTTATGTTCATGGGTGATGGAACTGGTCCAATTGCCATATGAGATGTTGTATGAGGTTGCAAATATTCTGGTGAAATGTATGTATTCGAATCGATGTAGGAAGATTTAGATGCAAAATTTGGATCGATGTAACCGGAATTTTGTCTTGTCAATTCGCGAAATTTGGGAGTTCGTATGCGCCTTTTGCGATGGGGAGTTATTGAATCTTCTTCGTATGGGGATGGGTTGTTTTTTAAGTACCAAGAATCGCCCTGGAAAATAATAATAGACTAAAATAATGAAAAAATAACGCTCAAAACCAAAAACACTAAAACTAAAATGAAATTTAGCAATAGCAATTTCACCCGATTTGAGGCTATGGCTTAGATTGCTCTCTACATTAAAATAGTATTGCCAAAAGATACAATTTACTTAAATTTTTGATAATGAGGTGGATTTTTAAACCGTGATCTATTTTACTACAGTTTATTTAAAAAATGTATATATTTAGAATGTATATAAATATATATATATATATATATATATATATATATATCTTATATATAAAATTTCCATGTCACAATGTATATTCCCATACGAAGAGCTTGACTTCAATATTTCATTATTTTGTTTTTGTCAAATAACTCGCAAATTTTATATGAAAGCACTCTTTTTGAGTTAAATAAGGACAAACTAGATAAAATTTACTGCAGTTTCATGCCAACAGTTATATATACTCCGATATAAACGTTTTGAATAAAACGGCTTTGAATTTGATTTTTTATTCTTTAGCAATAAATAGAGAATTCGGGACATTTTTTGGTTTTTGTCAAATTACTCACACATTTTATATAAAAGCACTTTTTTTTAATTAGATGAGGGTGAAACTAGATAAAATTTACTACAATTCCATGCTTACAGTTATATCTTTGCGTTTCAGATATATATATATATACTAGTTGACCCGACAAACGTTGGTTTGCCATACAAAATATTTCTAGTACAAAATGTTTAGTACAAAAATAACTAACTGATCACAAATGTAGTGCATAAGTGTAAGGAGGAGCTAACAAAAAATATATAAATAGTTTTCCCACTGCAAAGCACGCCACATATAAATATCCCTTGATAGTTTTTGCAAGAGCCAACCTAATCTGAAACTGATTCTATTTAAATTGAATTGGCACACTTAATGTTTCAAGATTTTGATATATTATTATTACTGAGCTTTTGCATTAATTCTGTAGTTTTTGAATTACAAAACAAATTTTGATAATTTATCTTTAAATTATATTGTTATGTGGACTGTCCAGTGGGTTGGCTGAGATTGAAAAGAATTTAGAGTGGAAAATTTTACAGCTTTGCTATAGATTTGTATGGTACCTATAGTTTCCTATCAAAAACTATTGTATTTTTAGATTTTAAAATTCAATCACTCTATTTCTTTGCAAAATTTGCTCTTCATGCAAACTTTCATACAATTCGAAAATGGAAAAATAAATAAATTTCTATTGGACAGTATACAACTGTTGGCATGGAATTGTAGTAAATTTTATCTAATTTCTACTGTGCTAAATAAAAAAGAGTGCCTCCATATAAAATTCGGGACATGTATTGCAAACTTTCCTTTAACACTTAACAAATAATTTTTAGAAATTAATAAAAGAGACTTTTCTCAAAAATCTTGTATACAATATTCCACAATATTAAGAGAGTTTTAGAAAAAACTTAGTAACTTTCTAGATTCCACTTCATAAAATCCAACTCATATCATAAAATTCTATATATATATATATATATATATATATATATATATATATTTGTAATATTTTTGCAGCGCGATCGAATTAAAAAAAAGATTCAATAACAAAATTATTTATTCTATTAAACATTTCGACACTTAATCTAAAAAACATATTACATAAATACAAAGTTTTATAATAAATATAAATATATGAAAAACAGAAAATTATACATACCAAACCTGGAAAAACCACAGTAAAAATTAATTATGATGTAAAATTGATTGAACACTAAATTTGTGTAAAATAGTAAAATACTATTATATTAACAAACGAGAAATAGAAAGAGCACATATTGCCCTCCTATATTTAATGTTATTAATAGCGTTGCATTATGGACACTGATCAAGGTTACAAAGCAAGTGTGGTGAAGGAGTGGGAGCGGGGTCTGAGAAACGAAAGGGGAAAGAGAAACAGAGAAGAAATATAACAAACAAAAGATTTTAAAACTGTATAGAATTTCTTTTCATGAAATTAATGATGACTTTGTAACTGTCATGTAAGAGATGAAAGAAATTACGTTTGTAGACACAAGAAGTATTAAGGGATATAAGTACAGACTCAACTATCTTTCTAAGGTCACAATTTTTTTCAATGTAAAGGATGGAAGAATTTGATATTTTAAAAGTGTGGTTCAAGTTTATATCATCAAGTTCTGAAAGCATCGTTTTGAATTGATTTGGGTTTCTAGAATTATATATATATATATATATATATATATATATATATATATTGTATATATGTTCTTTACCCTCTTGTATATATATTGGGAACTTTCACAAATTTAACAACTATTGCAATCATTGCAGTCCAACCTGTAAATAGAATCAGTAACCCTATCAATGTTTTTTAATTGAACAATTGGGCTGCAAAAATATTACAAATATGTATCAACGTCGACAAAATTATCATCATATATATATATATATATATATATATATATATATATATTTTATTATTATTATTATTATTTAACCTGCATGCATTCTGCAACGCTGGATTTTTCTTGCAACCAAGTCGAGTGTCTTGCAACAGGGCGACCTGAGTATAATGCAGGAGAAGACATTTCTTATAACTTGAATTTGATTTTTTTTTAAATAATTTTTATGGGTAAAGTTGATAAATTGTGATACTATTGTGAATAACCGAATGAATTTATGGAATGAATAATTTTTAGACAGTTGTTGTGACGTTTTGGCCGGAGGCCTACTTGGATTATATTTATTTTTGATAGACGTTTTTTCAAACTAAATATTGGATTCTACAAAATAAATATTTTTGTTAAACACCAATTGATCAATCACATATTGGAAGAAATAAATTAGAAAATAAAACTAAAGTATCATGCTGATATGCAAAGTATTACCAAAGCCTTAATATAAACAAATTAATTATTTTTATCACATTTAATTATAACAATCAGAACCAAAATGATTCTATGAGTTACAGAAAAAATTATTAAAATAAGCTATTATGATTAAGTTATATTTACAAATGCTGTTCAACTCTATGGTCCTAATTACTATTTTTTAGAAAAATCTGTTTTCATACAAAATAATATTTAGATTTATATTTTCTAGCAAATGGCAAAAGATCAAAGCTCTCACCATTAAACTACGAACAAGCCAAATATTTATTGTTAAATAATGAATTTGATGAGGTAGTAATCACTAATTTAAATGTGATATATATTATACATTTATGAATATAAAAAGTTCATAAATGAATGTTATAATTATTTTAAATAAATAAATGTCAATAATAATAAATATATTAAGGAGAACTAGGAGCTTATTGTAACAGGGATAAGTAGTAATATTACTATATTGCAGGCTGACGCAGTAAACAGTAGTGCGCAGGTGCGTCATAATATCAAATTTTACTATCATGAAATTTTGTTTAGCGTTATTATTATAGACAAATATATAATTTTATATATCTTATTTCTTTTCAAATTTATCTTATTTTGTTTGATAATGGATACAAGTAAACAGAAGTGCGAAGGTACGTCATAATATAAAATTTTACTATCATGAAATTTTTTTACCGTTATTATTATCGACTAATTTTATATATCTTATTTCGTTTCAAATTTATCTTATTTTGTTTGAAAATAAACACAAGTAAACAGAAGTGCGCAAGTGCGTCATAATATAAAATTTTACTAACATGAAATTTAGTTTAGCGTTATTATTATAGACTAATTTCAAATTTAATTTATTTTATTTTGTATCAAATTTATCAATCATTAATATAATGTATGAATATTTTTGTATAAATATTGTAAAAATATTACATCTGGGGTTAGTTGAAACAAAACCTTGAGTCTAGTTCTAACATTTTTATTTGTATCATAAAAATAATGGTAGTTAGCATTGATTTATAAAAAAAAATACTTAAAAATAAATCATTTTTGAAATAAGTAAAGAATAAATTATCAGAGGTATTTTTGCTATTTTTGACTCAACCGGGGTAAGTTGTAACACTAGACTTTTTCTAGAAGATAATTTTTTGTGAAGTAAATAACAACAATAATGAAATTATTGATTTGATTTGGTAAAGGAAAGTTACAGCATTTTATATGAAAGCAGCCCTTTTCAGTTAGATAAGATGAAACTAGATAAAATTAGCTACAATTCCATAAAAACCGATATAAAAGTTTTGAATAAAACGACTTTGAATTTAATTTTTCATTATTTAGCAATAAATAGAAAATTTGTGATATTTTTCTGGTTTTTCGCAAATTACTCACAAATTTTATATGAAAGCACCCCTTTTCAGTTAGATAAGGTGAAATTAGATAAAATCTGGCTTTATTTTCAGAATTAAAAAAAACTGTTATAAACTCATACCTCCACTATATCTATTATAATAAAAAATCTGTCCTTTTAATAAAAAAAACATGTGCAGGCCGAAAAATTTACAGACACAAATATTGTATTAATGTAAAACAAATAAATTCTGATAGAGACGGTAAAAAATATAACAATTTATTTTGCATTTGTTATCGGGATAGAAGTTGTGAACTAAAATATTTAGATATATATGAAATGTTTTTGAATTATAATAATTAACCAAAGTCTTGAATAATAAGTTATTATTCAATACAATTATAATTGTTATAAGATATTTATTAGCAATTGTACTAATTAGTTTTAAGTATGAGCCAAAACTATTTTCAAAAAAAAAACTGTTGAAACTTATCTGAAAATATAAATCTAACGCCCAAATAATGAAGTCGATCTACAAATATATATCAGGAGTTGTAAGTGCACCTTGCCTAAAGGCTAAATGCCACTTCCACCTAATTTTCATAGATATAATTATAATTTTTGTTTCATACAAAGTCTTTTATTAAAATCATATCTTGTGGTCACACTTGACGATAATAAATAATTATCGGATAATAATTGCACAATTATCATCTCATTAAAAATAGGTTTCTGCTATTATTATATTACGTCGACGTGATTTATGATTTCAGAAACATTAACGAACTAAGAATATAGATTTATATAAAAATAAATTTGGCATATTTGTATTTATTTATTATATTTATACTCAATTTAAAAAAAAATCTTAAAAATAGAGATAGGTAAAATAGTGTACTTTTTTAGATACTTTTTTAAGTATAGCACTTAAAAAATATTCATTATTCAATTAATATTTTCTTAATACCCTTTGAACATTTTTTTTATTGAAATAAAATATGATTTATACATTTATGAGGTCTTTTAGAACACTTTAGTATAAAAAAATAGAAGAAAATACGGTTGAAAATTAAATAATAATAAGACCCAAAGTTTGTATCAATTTATTAAAAAAAATTATAGAATATTTATATTAGGATAGTTTAATTTATTAATTTATATTTTATATAATTCTTTTCTATATATATATATATATATATATATATATTAAATAAATAAATATAAAAAATCCTAAGCAATTTAAGACGATGTTAACCAAGCACATTAATATATTAAACCACAATATAGACTTTTTCAACCCAAAAATTTTACATTTTGAAGAGAACATAATTAAAAGAAGATTCGCTGAGGGGTTGTTTTTGCAATTACATAACGACAAGGTCATAAACAAACGATTCAACAACATGGCCCTGAACGAAACAAACACGTGGTTCCAATAGCGTGTCAAAATTTGTTAAAATTTTGACAAGATCTCATCGCTTTTTAAATTTCCCGTAAAATTTGAACACATGCTAAAAACTGCTTTAAGAAAAAATGTGACATTTCTATCTCAAACTCCGAACAGTAAATACATAGTTTCGACAACTTGTTAAGTTATCATATTTATTAGTGTTTTAATCATCTGTGATGTTAAAAAATATATATTTTATCAATGTGCACCATGGATTAATAATGGTTCCATATGCTATATTAGGATACAAAATTGTAAGTGTTTTATTATTATTATTATTATTATTATTATTGATTTTCTATGAAATTTCTTACATATTATTTATCTAGTTTTAATTTTTATAGTGAAATTGATTGCCACTGAATGAAGGCTAAGATGCTAGCCGAAACTAAAAAATAAATTTCTAAAAACTCTCATACTGTTTTTATTGGTGTAACGCCCGATTTTTTAACTCTAATTATATATACGAGATATATATATATATATATATATATATATATATATATATATATTATTTTCTTCTATACAAAATTCTCCTCTGTACAAAATTACATAAATCACTAATTATGTCTGAGAGCTCAAAAGTTTCGAGTACTGGAATTCAAGGTGCAATGTAAATAAATAAACAATTATTATTAAAGTATCTTTTTACTCATTATCAATTGTTGAAATTTAATCATTATAATTTTATCAACAGTTGGTTCTTGAATTTGCAACAAGACACAATAATAATGTTGGTGAAAATAATTTTGTTTTGTGTTTTGATTGTTTTTGGCGAAAGTGGGTAAAAATTTAGTAAATAATTAGTAAAAATTATGTTAAATTCATGTGTTTTTTAAGTATTTATAAAACTGATTTAATTAGTTATTCTAAATTAAAAAATGTTTACTAAAATATTACTTGGTGTCCACAATCTTATGGATTTGTATACATATTGGAGTCAGAATTAGTAAAAAAAAAAAATTATAAAACACATTTAAAGAAAATAATAAAACTTATTAGTAAAAAATGTTAATGTAATAAATTTGGCATTTAATTTAGATTATAATTTTAGCATTTGAAGTATCTAATGAAACTCAAAATGGAACTTCTGAAAATAATTTAGTTTATGCAGTAGTTATTGATGCTGGTTCTACTGGATCCAGAGTTGTTGGTTATGAATTTGAAAAACAAGGTGAAAAAATAAATAAATTTTAAATAAACATATATATATATATATTCCTTTATTGAATTTATCTAAAAATTAACTAATTAATAAAAAAGGTGAAGATCTGAAATTGCTTCGTGAAGAATTCCACAAACAACGTCCAGGATTGTCTAGTTATGCCAATAATCCAGAATTGGTAAGTTTTTTGTAAAAAAATGTTTTCTAACTAATATTTATATATATATATATATATACATATATGTATCTTATATGTGTAAAATTCTTCTGTACGGGTGTATGATTTGATACGACTTCTAAACGATTATTCGGATTCTGATAATTCTTTTTAGAGTTTGTCAAAGAAAATTTCTAAGATTCATTGAAAAAAGTAATAGTAATAGTAATTTCTTTATTAAATAAAATTATAGTAATGTTGTAGAAATAAATGGCAGAAATTACAAAAAATTACTTATTATTGTTTGACATTGAAAACATTTGCTAAAAATGTCAATTCACTTTAAATTTGAATTTAGCTAATATTATGAGCCTAGATCATGTTGGAATATAATATACAAGAAAAATGTAATGTCTACATTACTATTGACGCAGCTGAGATGTGTCAGAAATTAAAATAATACAAGATACAGTATGTTTTTTCGGGAGCAGGACAATATCTGTTGGGTCAGCTAGTTTATATAAAGTTCTATAAATGAATATTATTTATGATTTTATTTTTTTGAAAATAAAATTTGTATTATAAATTATATAAAAAATATCTTGAATTTTTTTTACTACCGATTGTACTTTGCAGTTGAGATATATTTTTCCATAGTTTTGACTTAGATTTTTTTTTAAATTGCCATTCTATTTAAAGTGAGAAATTGAAAAAATGATGCATCTACACAGATTGCAGAATAAAATTGAATAATTAAAAATTATCTCATTGGAGATAAACTCCTCAAAGCCACGAAGATTAACATGTAATTTGAAAGGGCAATATTTATTTTGATTGTGTATAAAAATATATGTATACCACGAAAGATTATATCGATTTCGATGATTCGTATATATACAATTACTAAACTTAATTAAAATACATAATTTTGAAAAAACATTGATTATCATAAATATTCTCAATTTTTAAATTTTCCAAGCCGCGGCTTTACCGATTAGAACCGCAACCCCAAACGACGCGTCAATTCAGGTCAAAATGCAGCGTTGGGACTTTTATAGTGGAAAAGAAAAATCATTGTGAATCAACTTGCACATGTAAATGTACATAACTTGTAATTGTCCAAAGTGAAAATTCAAATCATAAATCTTGCAGTTGCAATGCAAAATATAAAATATTTTTAATATACAGTTATAACAATATTATTCACTACAAGTTCTAATTCTCTACTATGTCTTCTATAGTTGGTCATATCAGTAGAACTAATATGTTCAGGTCTATTGAAGAAAGTATTTCATATTTTCTTGGCTGTTTTGTTTCGTTTGCAATTATTTTTGAACTCGTAAGTAAGGACATACATTAATGTTGAAATATACATAATAATTTTAATATTCAATGTTTCTATTCGGTTCTAACGTTTTTCAATAACCATTTGTTTCATCATGGATTTTTATTTATTTATTTCACAAGCCGTCAGTATAATGAAAGGCTCAAGTCAATATCTTGCAGATTTAATATAATTTAATTGACTATCAACTGTTTTATTACTTAATTATTTATTTTGCAATTTATTTACTAAAAACTTATTTATATTAAGTTAATTTTAATTATTTTTAAATATAACTAGTATTTTTGCTGCAAGTATTTTTAACAATTTAATAAATATTTTAATAAGCTTTACAATTCTTTTACAATATAATATTTTGTTTAACAAATTTTAGATTATTTTATGATATTTTAACAAATTTAAGTGTATAATATTATATTTATTTTTACAACACAAATCTACATTTTTTTAGGTATTTTAATGAAAGAAATATTTCGTTTGACAATTTTTAAGTGTTTTTAAATAATAAGCGTTTAGTTAACTAATTAATAAGTATTTTAACAATAAAAATCATGTAAAAATAATAATTATAAAAGTAATAATAAATCGATGATAAATAATAGATTGATAAGCCTTTAGTATTGTTTTCGGTATAAGAAATGCAAACAAAAGCAAACTCATTTATAATTTTTTTACGCTTCTTATTTTTTAATTATTACTATTTGCTTTTTAAACATGGAATATACATAGTGCGTTTTCATTAGTAACTCTGATTTGATTTATACATATATATTAGGGCGGTCCTTAATATGGATATTTTTGAATTTCTTTGCTCCAGGGGCTAAAATGCTCCCCTAGGGGCTAAAATGCTTCCTAAATTATAAAAAAAAATTTAAGTTTTAGCTCTTAATATCAACTTAAGATAGTCCGCACTTCAAAAAAAGTTTTTTTGGAAAAAACTAACATGGGTAAAATTCCATTTGTTTTGTAGAATTCAACTTAGGGACAAATGAATGAAAAATTTGAGAATACAACATTATTTGCTTATTTTGATCATAGATAAAAAAATTACACCAAAAATTTGATATATGTTATAAAAAAAGTATTACTTAGGAAGAAGAACTAAGAAACTTTGGTTGGAGTGCGGACTATCTTAAAGTTAATATTAAGATCTAAACTTTCAGAGAATTTTTTTCATCAATTTTGAAGTACATGGGAGCAAATAAATTCTAAAATATCCATATATATACCACCCTAAAATAATATATATATATATATAATATATATATATATATATATATATATATACTTAAATCTTTTACTAGGGTGCCCAAAAAATCATGGACCTCCTCAACCAAGCCAACAATTTCGTACCAGACCACAAAAAAACAGAAACAATTCTCTATCTAAGGGCAACTGCTGGTCTACGTCTTTTAGGAGAAGAAGTTGCCCAAAAATTACTTCAGGCAGTCCAAAGACAATTCGAGAAAACTTCATATAAAGTGGAGCAAAATGCTGCAGGATTATTAAGTGGGACTGATGAAGGGATATTTGCATGGTTTGCTGTCAATTATTTTAAAGGTAAAATAATGGTAAATATTAATTTAAAAAAATCAGTCACATTGGAGATAATTTTTGAAATAAATGTCCATTTGTCTTGTTATTTACTCGTTTATTGTCTCTAATTGCACTCTCTACAATATTCATGTCTGTATGTCTCTATTTGTCTCTCTACTCACACACATACATCAAACATTTGTTATTCCATTCCATATGTCATGATATATTCTATATTTACAGGAAATTCTATTAAATTTTTAAGTAACATCAAAAACACCTACACGTTCATTTTGTAAATTAGTAACGTTACAAAAACGAAGCCGTTACGTTTTCGCGCAATTTGGAAACGTAACCAAAACGAAACAGGCCGTTACGTTTTTGAGTCGGAAGTAGAAACGTCTGTGTGCCTTCTTATATATTAACGTTTTAATTACGTTTTGTGATTTGCTGAGTTGAGATACAGATTGCAGAATAAAATTAAACTAGTGGGGTGTATGGCATCGTGCCTTAAGGCAAATTGCTGGAACTTCCCGTACCGTAACGAAATATTCGAGGAATACTGAATGTTTTTAAATAGATTATTATTAATATTGTAACATTGTCTAATATTTATAAGAATTATATAAACTGAATTGCAAAGTTGAAATTATTTGTTCAAAGTATATTAGAACTTTAGTCAGAATTAAAAATAAAATCTGAATTATTTTCGATATATCAAAAAAATTTAAAAAAAAAAACTAAAATATTGTTTTTCCCAAAATCAATTATTTATCATTCAAATCGGACGCTTAATTCACTCAAAAACCGTCATTCTTTGCACATTTAACGCTGTATCTTCAAAATGGATGGGCCTACCTTTGCCAAAAACTAATAACCACTTCTCTCAATCATTACTAATTGAATGTTTTTTAGATCATTCAAATCGGATGCTCCATTCTCTCAAAAACTCAATCTCTATTTTCTGCACTCTTTGCTCCGTATCTCCGAATCGGTTGGATCTGCCTTTGCCAAAAACTAATTAGCACATCTCCCTATCAATAGAAGTCGAAAGTTTTTTGAACCATTGAAATCGGTTGATCCGTGCGCCCTAAAACGTGACCGAAAAATTGTATCCATACATACATACACACACATCCATTTTTTCTGAGGTAGGCCAAATTGTCAGAAACCTTCGAAACGTCGAGAAATACAAAAATCTTCAATTTCGATTTTTGGACGATTACAATAACTTACCCTACGGGAAGTTAATAAAAAAGGAATATTTTTGAGTTGTCATTTAAGTAGTAGTAGTATCACCTTTCAAGATAGTGATTAAATATCTCTTTAAATAATTCACATTCGTTAATTCATGCTGTAAAAAAGCAAAAGCTATGTTTCTGGACCTATCTTTGCTAAAAACAAAAACTATGATCTAACTAAATCTTCAAACCATTAAAAATCCATTTTTTAATCATTTAATAAATCCAAAAATATGTCATAAATTAGAGTTCTTATATACATAAATAATATTTCCAACAATTTCTCATATATCTAGGAATTATCCACTTGTGTTCTTAATTATATTTTTGAAGCCCAAAGAGGATTATGTATTAACAGATATCAAAGTTATAATAATTATAGGAAGAGTTTAATATTATACCAATAATATAATATTTATTTATAATTTTTATTCCAGAAACTTTAGATAAAAGAACTTATGCAGCCTTAGAAATGGGTGGAGGTTCAGCACAAGTAACATATGTTCCGCAATATAAATATGTGAATTTTTTGAAAAAAGATATACATCCTGTGCCTTATAAGAATCTCAAAGTTTTCAGCAAAAGGTAGGAAAAATTGTCATCAACTAGTAGTGTATAGCATCGTGCCTTAAGGCAAATTGCTGGAACTTTCCATACCAAAAATTAAAATATTTATAAAAGATTCAATTTTCGTTTAGAACTTTGAAAAATACGATTTTTGAGATTTCTGATAAAAATTGACCGTTTTGAAAGGAATTTGACTTTTTCCCTTCCTACTTTTATACTTTTACAATTTTCTTTTGGAACTCTGAAAAAAAATCGATTTTTGAGTTTTTTGAAAAAAAAATTACCTTTTTGTAAAATTTTATCTTCTTATACTTTGAAATATTTAGAACATTTTGAACTTTTTTCAAAGCTAACGCCATACGTTAGCTGCTAGAAATAAAATTTGGAAGCGCGTGGGCGCCGCGTCGCGGTAAACATTTAAATATTGGTACAGAACCTACAAAAAGTTAACAAAATACTTACATTCTTAAATGCCTAAGTTCAAAATCTGTTATTATTAAAATATCTATAAAATATGTGATAATTTGATGTGTCTATGTCTAATGATCATTTTTGTTCGCCAAATGGCATATTTTTAACCTTTTTTATTGGATCTCCAAAACCGCTAGACCTACCTTTTCAAAAATTTTATCAGTTCTTCATTTTGTCAATACATATGCTTTTTCAATCATACAATTCAGATACTCCGTTCTCTCAAAAACTTGATTCCTATTTTCTCCACTCTTTGCTCCTTATCTCCGAAACGGCTGAATCTGCCTTTGCCAAAAACTAATCAGCGCATCTCCTTATTAATGTAAATCGAATGTTTTTTGAACCATTCAAATCAGTTGATCCGTGCGCCCGAAATTGTTGACAAAAATTTGTGTTCCCACACACACACACACACATCTATTTCTTCTGATGTATGCCAAAATGTTCAGAAACCTCTGAAACGTGAAGTTATGCAAAAAAATTCATTTTCGATTTTTGGCTTACGGTTAATGTAAAGTTTGTTCTAAATATCTAAATTATTATTGATCAAGTCGATTACTTACTCATATCAATTATCAAAGAAGTTTATGCAACTTGCCTTAAGACAAAATGCCACTTACTTAATACATTTAATATATCAGGGTGGTCCTTAATATGGATATTTTCGAAATTTTTCTCCCAGGGACTCAAATATTTCAAAATTGATAAAAAAAAACTCTGAAAGTTTTAACTCTTAATATTAACTCTAACATAGTCCGCGCTCCGACCAAAGTCTATTGGTTCATCTTCCTAAGTAAATACTTATTTTATAAAACATTTAAATATTTGTTGTAAATTTTTTATTTAGAATCAAAATAAGCAAATACAATATTATTCTTAAAATTTTGATTCACTTGTCGCTAAGTTATAAAATTATAAAAAACAAATGGAATTTTACTCATGTTACTTCCAAAAGAAACTTTATTCCGAAAGTCTCATAATATTTTTGTTAATATCCAAAAATAATTGTTATTGAAAATTGTGTAACAAATTAATTTTTTAATGATTATTAATTATATTTTTGCAGTTTTTTAGGTCTTGGTCTAAATGCAGCCAGAGATACAATGTTCCAAGCAGATTCTTGGAACAAAATTGAAGAAGGACAAACAGTCTTCAGTAGATGTTTTCATCCACAAATCAAAAACGTTGAATTTGAATTTAACAATAAAAAGTATTACATCAGGTAAATAAATAAACTAGTTGGTATTGGTATTTTGCCTTGAGACAAGTTACATGAACGTCCCGATAAGTGTTAATAATCGACTTAATCAATAAAAAATACATTAAATTATGAGTGATTAGAAGTATTCCGAGTGGATTTATTACACATCATTGAAAATGAATGAACACGTTAACTCGGAGTATTTTCTAAAAGCAAATTTTCAAAAATCAATAATATTTATAATTGAACCAGTTTCCATAGGACTTTAATGGTTTAGTATGTTCATTAAAACCAAGTACTCTATCGTTATACCAAGTGAATTGTCTAATTTTAATTTTAACAAACTTCAAAAAAAACTACTAATTTTCTCAAACTTTGATGAATTTTTAAAATTAAACTACTTGTCGTAAGGATATAATATTTCAGTCAGTTCTATAAGACCATGATATATATCGCCAAAAAAAGTTTCATAAAAATCGGCTTAATTTTTTTTCAACAGTTATTTACAAGAAAACGGCACGGTACATTTTCACCTAAAACTAATCAGTATCATTCCCAACCATTTTACAAGAATTTTACAATTTATTTATCAATTATTTAATATTTTTAGTGGAAAACCAGGTGATTTAAGAAATAATCGACCAAACATGTATTCGTGCAGATATTATGTCATAAAATATATTTTGCCAAAAATTCAGCCAAAACCTTTGGGTTTGTGTGAAGAAGATTCTGTGGCTTTGAGTGCTTTTTATTATAGAGGACGAGCTGCTGAATTAATCGGTAAATAAATAAAATATATATATATATATATATATATATATATATATATATTAGGTTGTCAAATATTTCCCTTCCGCTTTTTTGCTCTTGGTTTATAATACAAAAAGGCGGAAGGGAGATATTTGACAATCTTATATATATATATATATATATTATATATATATATATATATATATATATACTAGCTGTAAGTAAGGTATATTCAAAACAATTACTAGAGAATCAGAAAAATTAATACTTTTAGTGTATAAGGATGTGCTGTTTAAATGCTATATACAATGAGGTATTATAAAAACAATGAACCCCATTAGTTTGTCCATATTTTGTCAATACAATCAAACTGGATGTTTTATACACTTTCTATAGAAAACATGTTATAAACCAATTCAAGTCTTTTCTGGTCTTTCGACTTATTGATTACGTTTCAAGTTTTTCAGATTCCTTTTAGATTCTGGATTTTATGTATAATTGTAAATAATATTACTGACCTCATACAAAATTTTCAAATTTCTGCGAGGAGAGATAGAAAATGAATTAAGTATTTCTTCTTTGGCCTGCTTTTTGAAAAGTTTCAAGTAACATTCGATGAATTAAAGGAAATTTAATAAAAAGTAAATATGTAGAGCAGGGCGAGGCACAAAGGTCCAATTTGACTTTGAGCAAATATAAACTATATTGTGAAAGCCAAAACAATTATATCACAACAAATAACACATTTCAAACGAACAATTATCTGACTACGTTCAGTAAAACTGCCAGCTACTTCATCATTGTAGAAATGTGCTTTTTTGATTTCTTTCAAAAATTTGTTATCTGGACCTTTTTACCCTATAGGCGGGGTAACTTGGAACGGTCAGGTGGCAAACAGGTTTAATGTCTTATTTTAATTTTAAAGGTATTTTACAAAATAATTACATTTTTAACTAATGCTAAAAAACTACCAACGGAAGAAAATACTTTTATTATGGATTTTCAAAGATGACCGTTTATCTCCCGATAGCAAAGTCATAAGAATCAAAGTCTAGCTGGTTATACATCTTCTTCCCTCTACTTTCAAATATTGTTATATCCATATTAAACTCAAACTTGATATATATGCAAGCATATCTTACGACGCTTTGCTGTGGCTGAATTTTTTTTTTTGTAAGATGATAAAAGTCCTTGTGATGTGTCCTTAAAAATGTGTCCTTAATATATTAAACTTAAAATACTGCCATATAATTGTTTCTTAAATTTTTACTAAAATCCAAAAATCCTTAAAAAATAGATGACGTGGTTAATTGACGCCCCCTTATTGAAATTCTTATAATTCTTAATGGTATATAATTTTTATTTTATTTAAAATCTTGAATAATTTTTTTTCCTATTATTTTAATTTTACATTATGATTTTAATTACATTTAGTAATTTATATTTTTCTATTATTTATTTTCTTCTCTATTTCCAGTTGGTTCAAGTGGCAAAATTTGTTTAGGTGATTTATGGAGAAAAGCTGATATGGAATGTGCAAAACCTAATGAGAAAGATCCATTCTTATGTATGGATATGATTTATATGTACACTTTGCTTAAAAATGGATATGGACTCAGAGATACTAATTATCTAGAAGTAATTTAATTTTAATTTTAAATAATTCATGTTATCTTAACAAAAAGACTTTCTCAATATTTTTAACTTCCCGTAGGGTAAATTATAGTAATCGCAAAAAATATCGAAAATGAAAATGTTTGCATATCATTACGTTTCAAAGGTTTCTGAACTTTTTGGCATATCTTAGAAAAAATGTATGTATGTATGTGTGTACGGATACAAATTTTCGTCGACGATTTTGGAAAAATGGATCAACCGATTTGAATGATTCATTAAATATTTGATTCCCTTTGATAAGGAAGCATGCTGATTAATTTTTAAAAGAGAGACTTTTATCTCTGGTTCAATAAAATTCAAAGTGTTCTTTTTTCAGTTTTCTTATTCTAATTTTAAAAATTTTAATTTTTGGTACGCGAAGTTGCCAGCAATTTCCTTAAGACGCGATGCCATGCACCACAAGTTTTTTAATAATTTTTTAAAATCTATAAAGTTGCTAATTTTTTTCTGAAACTTGCTTAATATTGTAGAATATTGTAAACAAAAATTTTGAGAAAAGTCTTTTTTATTAATTTCTAAAAATTATTTTTTAATTGTTATAGAAAAGTTTGCAATACATGTCCCAAATTTTATATAGAAGCACCCTTTTCTAGTTAGATAAGGTGATACTAGATAAAATTTACTAAATTTCCTTGGAAAAACTTCTATACACTCCTATATAAAAGTTTTGAATAGAACGACTTTAAATTTGATATTTCATTCCTTAGCAAGAAATAGAAAATTCGGGTCATTTTTGTGGTTTTTGTCAAATAACTCAAAAAATTCATATAAAACCACTTCTTTCCAGTTACACAGGGTGAAATTAGATAAAATTTACTATTAAATCCTTGGAAACACTTTTATACACTCCGATATAAAAGTTTTGAATAAAACGACTTTAGACCTATATTTTTATTCCTATTTCTAATATGATATATAGAGTATAAAGCTTCAGTATGATACTGAATGTTAATATTAATATATTTCTTTTTCGAAAATATGTTTATATAAAACTTAAATACAGACTATAAATAGATAATTAAATTAAATATCCATATATTTGCTTTTTTTCAGATGATCCTAAATATTGACAACCACGAACTATCCTGGGCCTTGGGTTTTGCTTACAGTAAACTAATTGAAAAAATACAAAATTAGAGAAACGGATTTTCTGGCAAAAACATATTTATTTAAAAATTTACTATTATAGTAATATTTATAAAGTAATATTTATAAATATATAAATGTATTTTTAGATATGTTATAAATATAATTATTTACTATATGCTCTACAAGGTTTATTTACCAAAACAAGAATGCTTTATTTATATATATTATATATTAAAAAAATAAATATTATCAAACTGTTGCCAAATGTGTTTCAAAAAAGTCAACAATTTGTTTTTGTAAATTTTGGTTATTTACGACACCTATTTTTTTTTTAATTTCAAGTTGCAAAACATAATTGTTACAAAACTTATCATGTTTTTTTAACAAATATTGTAGGCTAATTGTTGTGATAGAACTATTATTATTTTCTTTGTAAAAACTTAAGAGTGAACTATGTGTCCTTTATTTAAATTAAAAGTATTTTGTATATTACTGTTCATACAGTACTGTAAGTAACTTGTTTTTTTTATTTACTTGAATTTTATATTGAACATTTTGTTATAAAATATTTTACATAATAAAATAATTAATTTTTAGTGTTTTTAATAATTATTTTATAATATTTTGTGTTATAAATATTGTGATTTTTTTTATTCACTTTTACGAACAATATGTCGTTATAAACAGCATCCATTAATTTTAATGGTTTACTATATAAGATAAAAAAGATCAAAAGATTTTTTTGTCATAACATTCGTAAAAAATCGTATCAAAAATCAAATTTCAACGTACTTAAACATTATTTCCTAATTATATACCTCAATTTTATTGTAAAATTCGTAAAAAATGGAATAACCCCTTTTCAGTTAGATAGGGTGAAACTAGATGAAATTTACTAAATTTCACTTTTATACACTCTTTGAATTCGATATTTCATTCTTCTGCAATAAATATAGACAATTCAGGACATTTTTTTGGTTTTTGGTCTTATAACTCAAAAATTTCATATGGAACTACCCCTTTTTAGTTAGATAGGGTGCCACCAATATATGAATATAAAGCATTTAGATATTAGAAACTTTATTAAAACATTAGTTTATATTTTCCATTATCTAATATTAGCCAAAAATATTTTTTTAGTAATTCATGTAGCTAAAACAAATCCTGTATCAACAGAAGATAAAATTTATTCAGTTGTAATTTGATGCTGGATCTACTGGTTCCAGAGTGGTTGCTTATGAATTTGAAAGACATGGTAAAATATATATTTAAAAATATTTTTTTTACAAAATATTTTAGTACTAATTATATTTAAATCAATTTGACAGGGAATAAACTAAAACTGTTGCAAGAACTGTTTAAAAAAATTAAACCCGGGTTATCCAGTTATGCAAATGATCCTGATGAGGTAATCAAGTGCTCTTAAAAATCTATACATTTTCATAAATTGCAATAAATATTTAAAAAAAATACATCTACCAAATAAATGAAAAAATGCCATTATTTTAGAAAAATTTCTTAAAAATTCATCTTATTCAAATCAAAAGTTCATCTTATGGGCTGCATAACAGACCAATGTTATGGCAAGGCTGTGTTACGAAGAACTTTCCATACTAAATATTGACAAAAGCCATGTGGTTGCTGTGCTTTCAGGCGTTGTCAGATAGAAAACTTAACTTAGAAACCGCACAAATGTCAAAAAAAATCATAGATAACAAGGTGTTTCTGACCCAGCTTCATAACACACGAGTGACGTTGCAGTTTATGTGTAAAACGCCTGGATCCACAGCACATACGTGATTTTTTTACAGTATTTGGTATGGTTCAGTGGCATAATGTATAAAAGTTGAAGCGTAACATGGCCTTGCCATAACATTTTTTTGTTGTACAGCAGAATCGGCCTATTAATGTTATTAAAGTTCGAGATTCGTTTAGCAGTTGATATACCAATACAAAATTGTTGAAATAGACTATGTAAAACCAATATTATCCAACAAAAGAAGCCAAAAAAATCATTAGGGCAACTTAATAGCACAGTTCACCAAGAAATTCAATTGACAGTCTGCCAAATTCTTGAAAGCAACCTATTTTGTCCTATGTTGTTAAGAACTAGTTTTTGGATAATTTTGTGACCAATCATAAAAAAATCAGGACAAATGTGCAATAGAATAAAAATACAAAGAGCAACTATAATCGATATAAATTATATGCATATTTGTCCTGTCTTCAAACAATGACAAAATCCTAGTAAATAGTCTATAACTATAAAATTTTTAAAAACACAACGAGCAAACAAATAATTTAAAAATATGAAATGCTTCCTTAGTTTCCAACTGCATTTACAATTTGCATTTTTTTTTTGCAGGGTGCAAAGAAAATTATGGCCCTGGTAAATGAAGTCAATGACTTTGTTCCAGCTGAATTAAAACATAAGACAAAACTGTTTCTTAGGGCTACAGCTGGTCTTCGACTTTTGGGCAATGATACTGCAAAATTGTTGTTGGACAAAGTTCAGGAACAATTTAGAACAACTGATTATATGGTAGAAGATCATGCAGCTGGAATGCTTAGTGGAAGTGATGAAGGGATGTTTTCTTGGTTTACAGTCAATTATCTAAAAGGTAATCTTCTATATATATAAAAATAAGTCGGGTTTTTCTTCCTGACGAAATATCTCCAGAACGCACAAACCGATTTGGACAATTTTGCTTTCGTTGGAAAGGTCTCGGGCTACGCACGGTTTATAGCTAAGAAAATTAGTGGTGCATGGCATCGTGCCCTAATGCAAATTGCTGGAACTGCACGCACCGTAATTAAAAAATCGAGTAATAAAAATAATCAATAATTGTTTTAAATTATTGCAAATAAATTATCTTCTGTATATATAAAAATAAGTCGGGTTTTCCTTCCTGACGAAATAACTCCAGAATGCACGAACCGATTTCGACAATTTTGCATTCGTTGGAAAGGTCTCGTGCTCCGCAAGGTTTATAGCTAAGAAAATTAGTTGTGCATGGCATCGTACCTTAATGCAAGCTGCTGAAACTTCACGCACCGTAATTAAAAATTCGAGTAATGACATTAGTGAGAATTATCAAAATTATGCTTAGTTAAGTCAACGAGCAATTCTTGCCGCAAAGAATAATGATGTGCACGCACTGAATTTCACCATTCAATCAAAAATTGCTGGCGATTTGGTGACATACCAATGATTCCGACTGGTTTTCCGTTTGACTTGAGCAAGGCTAATCGCTTAGTGTTTGCGGGATAAATTTCAAATAGATTATCTAGAAAATTATTGTTTTTCACATGAAAAAACCAACCGCTTTGTCTGTGTTAACGTCAGACCAAAAAACAAAAAATGTGGTTTACCAAAGAGCACTTCAATGAAACGGATAATTGGCGGATTCACTTTCATTTACTTAGAGAAGTTCAACTGAAAAACACTTAATTTTTGTAATAGAAATAAATTCATTACTGTTGTGCAATAAAATCAAATTTTTCCTTTTCAAATATAAAACAAACAAAAAATTTCTTCATCTTTCTCACGAAACCATCTAGTGGCGAAACGGAGTTCGTCGGGTTTGCTAGTTATATACATATATATATATATTATATATATATATATATATTTCTAATAATTTTACCCAAAAACTGTGCATCTGGTTTTGGTCTCATCCCTACTTGTTTTGAAGCTACTTAGTATGCTTAGAAAATGAGTGTAGATCCAGAAAAATGGTCAAATTAAAAATTAAGTCTCTTAGAATGTTACTAGAATTAAACTTTTCTGAAATTGTAATGAAAATAAGTTTCTATTACAACAAAATTTTAATTTGCTATACCCTCAGATTAATTGTAATTTCAATAGAATGAGAAACGTTACAAAAATTGCGATAAATCCAACATACGAGGTGTGTTCAAAAAGTACCCGGAATTACTAATAATTAAATTTCGCGGGTCTGGAGTGTCTGATTGTCAAAATTTTTTTTTATTGTGTTGGTATACATGCCCCTAAAGTATGATGAAATTTTCAGCTATATTCACTGTTTACTTTGTCTGTGGTAGTCGCTAAGGTTCGACGTGTTTTTCTGAGCTCGGCGATTTTTACAATGGAAGAATTGAAAAGTCAAAGAATTTGTATTAAATTTTGCGTAAAAAATGAAATAAAGTGTTGCAAAGTGCAAAAATTCACCAGATATGGCTCCGTGTGACTTTTTCCTATTCCCAAAGTTGAAGAGACCCATGAAAGGACGGCGGTTTTCCTCGATTGAAGAAAATCGCCGAGAGTGCTCAAGGACATATCAAAAAGTGAATATCAAGGGTGCTTCGAAAATTGGAAAAAACGCTGGCATAAGTGTATTATATCTGGGGGGGACTACTTTGAAGGGGACCACATTAATGTAGACGAATAAATAAATATTTTTTTGAAAAAACGAAAATTCCGGGTACTTTTTGAACAGACCTCGTACATCGAGAAACCCAGAAAATCATTAAAAACTAGATGCTAGAATTGTTCGTAATTTTTGTGATGTCTATTTTATTCTAAGAGTTTTTTTCATTAATTTCTAGGTTTATTATATGTTATATATTGATGTGTTATAATTTCTATATCAATAAATAAATTTGTTTCTAGATACATTGGACAATTCTAAAACTTATGCTGCTTTAGAAATGGGAGGTGGATCTGCCCAAGTAACTTATATACCAAAAGACGAATATAAGGAACAACTTAAAAAAGATATACATGATGTACCTTATAATGATTTGCAGGTGTTCAGTAAAAGGTAATTTATTGATTATTCCATATAAAGTTGTAATGTATTTGTTTTTACTTGAGTAACTACACTCTCTAATTAGAATTTTTTTTTTAAAAAATTGCATTGGATGTGTAATTGAAAAATATTTAACTTAACTATTTTTTTAAGTTTTTTTATTTTTCTGAAGCTATTTAGGCCTAGGAATCAATGCTGCCCGTGATGCAATGTTCAGAGAAGATGTTCAAGGGGATTTTAAACCAGGACAAACTGTGATCAGTAAATGTATTAATC